ACGACGACGAAGACGACGACGACAACAAAGACAACGACGACGACGACGACGAGGACTACTACTACTACCACTACAAGACTACTACTGCTACTGCTACTGCTGCTGCTACTGCTGCTGCTGCTGCTGCTGATACTGCTATTCCTGCAACTACGACTGCGACGGCGACGACCCCTACTACAAGGTATTCCTACTATGGTCATTGTGTTGAAGCTGGACAATGCTGGTAGTCACTGTGCGTTTATGCCTGTGTAGGTTTGGAAGATGCGTTCAAGACTTCTGCATAGCCCAACACGGGTTCGGGGGGACGTAAGACGGACATTTTGTACAAGCCAACCCCAGAATCGAGCAGACTTGCAACTCAAGCCAGCGTGATTGCTCCCCATAGAGCCCAAAACTGGTCGCTGAGCGAGGGTCTCAAGCAAATGTATGCTGTGACGCGTGATCGCACACAATTTTTCCATCGTAGCGCGTCAGGCTACTTTACCAAACTTGTCTTCATGTGACATCTGCTCACCCTTAAAACCCTAAAGTTCTAAAGCCTTGACCTCAACTCGAAAGCATGAGACCTTGAGCTTCAACCCCATAAACAGATAAACTCTCACGTCCCCAGCTACCCCTCTGAAGCGGAGATAAGGCACCAGAAAGGATTTTGTGATGCCCACGGTGGCCCAGTCGTTTCGCTTCCTGGCGCTTTCTTGAGCAAGTCTTTGGGTCTGAAGCTTCAATGCCACTAGAACAGCGGAGGACTAGTATGGGGGGGCCTTGTGAATTTGAAAAAGGGTTTTTCGGGATAACTGTTCCTCAAAACTCCACGAAATACGTCTGGGAGCTTTGGGTTTAGGGCTTTGGGCGCCTGAGAAGGGCCTTTTGGGGACTCTGAAGAACACAGCAGAGAGTAGGGCTTGAGAAAACTGCGCACACCAAGGCGGAACAGTTGAAAGTGAAACCCTAAACCAAAAAACCCCTAAACCCTAAACCCCTAAACTCCTAACCCTAAACCCCTAAACCCTTGTCGTAACCCCGACGGTAAAGCCTCACAGTTACCCCGAAAGGAGCCTTTGCCATCGCTACCCGTCTTCTCTTTGGGCATTCCATCAACACACGCCGCTGCACACAGCTACAAAGAACTATAGGTTTAGGGTTTCTTTCCGAGAAACGCGTGCTAAAAACCCTGCCCCTGACGGCGTAGAGGCCTGCCAAGAACCTACACTCTGAGACGGTAACTCATGTGGAGAAGCCCCCTGGGTCCTGCTTGCGAAGCTCCGTTTCCTAGGAACCCTACAGTATAAAGACGTGTTATGGCGGGGTCTATTTCAAGAGTTTCCGTTCTTTTTTATCCTCTACAGGGCCTTCCAGTCTTCCGTAGCATATCAGGACTGTGCCATTGTTCTGAAGACTCTCCAGAGGATGCTTTCGGCACGCACAGTATCGTTTAAAGTGAGATTTTCCAAGACAATCCCGACGCGGAAAGAACATCATACTCGCATTCAGCCAGAGACGAATTGGGAAAGAGGTGACAGTCAGATCGATAAGCAATGTAAGAGTAGACACAGAACTTCACTCCACCCCAGATTGTTTGGAGGATCTGACAACTACAACCCCTGAAGAAAAGGACTATCTCAAACCATATAGTAGTAGATGTCTTCTTGGGGGCTCTGTTTTTAGATCCTCTAAATCCTCTATCTGTCTGGGAACTGCTTTTTGCTTGACAGCTCCGGCGATACGAGGGGCCACCAGGGCAGCGTCTTTGCAAACTGCCCGGCTGCGCCCGTCACAGCTCTGCGCGCTTTCTCAATCGATATGGGTTCCTCAGCTTCAGACCCAATCATACTCAGCTTGTGCTGCGGGTATATTCGCCCTGTAGAGACGCAAAGCAGCAGTCTAGCTAAAGAGCAAATAAAGAGTTCGGAGCCTTTGACGCCTTCCGGTGCTCGAAAATCGTCCATGGGTTCGTGCGATGTGGGTTAACTCCCCTGTACGAGTAAGAGGCCTTAGTATCTAGAATAGGGTAGCAAGCTCTACTGCACTATACATGGGGCCGTAAGACGACATTAATACAAACTATTCAAACGTCTATGTTCTGATGCCCCACGGAGTTGCGCAGCTTCCGGAGTTGCTTGCCATGCCCTGGGCTCTTGTTCAGGAAGTTCATCTTAAGCTACCATGAGAAGGAAAGCCCCCTACTTTTCTATAACCTCAATTAAGTTACCATACAAAGGAAACCCCCCATAATCTACTCCAGATCTCTCTTTATGGTAGCTGAAATTCAACTCCTTCAGAAATGATCCAGTGTAAACCTGATGCGTCCGAGAGTCTTGACCCGGTCCCCAGTCTCCTCGTCCAGATAGTCTGCCCACGCGAGGTCGGGGTGAACGACCTAGGGTTTACCCAGCAGGTTCACTAACGGGGATGGTTTGGACTCGGTTTTGTTCGGGATTTCGCGTTTTTGAAAAAAGGTTTCAGAAGGGTTAAGTTGGGATTTTTCAGATTGTTGCTGGAGTCATTCATGTTTATGCAGTGTTGTGTTCTGTTATGTTGCCAGGTAGTGCTTGTTCTGGTCTCTAAAGGTGTGATATGCTATCCAATGCCATTCTCTGCTATGCCTTGCTATGCCCTGGTATGTGATGCTATGTGAGGTGATGTGATGTAATGCGATATGGTGTGATGTAAATGCTTTTGGTGAGTCACAAATCTGACGGCGTTTGATATGGGCCGGAAGTCGCCACCATCAGTGACACTGGCGACGGCTGTGACAGGATAACAGGGGCCAGATAAACGAAGATAAACAACTCAGGGAACGAAGAAGAACAGTGGTACGACCATAAGCTGCAACTTTGGCCTTCATGTTGCCTGATGGGGCTTATGTCGCGTTGGCGTTGTGCTCTGTTCTGTTCGCAAACCGCATGTCTTCAGGAAAGGGTCCCGGAAGGCAGGTCGCGGGGCCCATGTGTGTTCCAAGTTTTGGAAAAGAGATCATGGCCAGCCGGAGTGCTGGCATTTTGAGTTCGTCAGCTCGGAGACGGTGTCTGAGCTGTGGACTCAGAGGTACCGAGAATGGTACTTCTCACTGGAGAACCGCTTGGCGAGAGGCGGTCGCTGAAAAAGAAGGGCGGACATGAACATCATCATCCCCCCCCCCACCCCCCCATCCCCCCCAAACAAAACAGCAAAGCCAAAAAGAAACCAGAAATCCCTCGCACAGGCTAGGCCAAATTACACAAACAAAAAAACAGTGCGCAAAACGGGCTTAGCCGGTTTTGCGCTGTTTTGCTTGTGGCACCACGAAACAGAAAGCAAGTATGTCATGTAGATGCAGTTGCAAAAAGCTAGAAATCCCTCGCGCAGGCTAGGTTTCGAAGCAGGCACCCGGAAGCGGCAATTAGCTGCAAGCAGAGAAGTGGGCTAAGTTGGCGGGGAAATCGTCCCCGTTACCGGACCCGCTTGCAGGGTTCAGGGTTTAGGGTAGAGGAGGGGGTTCAAGGGTTGAGAATTCAAAACGGGTTGCTCAAGGGTTTGGGGCCCTTTGGGGTTTGAACTTCGAGGCCCTGCGAGAAGCGAAGCACAAATGTCGCCAAAGCCGCAGTCAAGGGAAAAACTGAGGGCTTGCGAACAAGCCGTCCGGTGTGGTGGTTGTCGGAGAAACCGACACCCATCTTTGCTTCGTATGGAATATTAGGACTATGAGGGAGGCCTTGTGGACAGATGATAGCGGACGTTACAACAAGGAAATGTAGGAATAGCATCATTAAGCTAAGATACAGCCGCAAACCCCCGGTTTCGGCAAACCAATCCTGGCAAGCACGAAAAGTAGTAAAACTAGAGACGCCTTGCCATTGTTGTATTATGACTAAGACTACTACTACTACTACTACTACTACTACTATTATTATTAGTATTAGTATTGTCAGCTTACTTGGAAGTGTTGTAAGATGGCCTAGCTAGTATACGCAAGAAAGTGCCTGGGTCATCTACTGGTGCTGCACCGAAAAGCAACGACCTCATGCCCACACACGCACAAAACTTGCTCACTCTGACGACCGCCAAGATGCGAGAATGACACAACACAACCGTGCCTGAACCGCTTCTCGTAATGTTTATTTAAGGTCCCCTAATTAGAGAAAAGTATTATCTATCCCGACCCCTATCATATTCTTGTGCGTTTATTTTTTGCTCTTAACTCCAGGAGGGCCTTTAGCTCGAGAATGGTCCTCGGCAAGTCGTTCGGTCCAGCAAGGATGTGGTGCGAGTAGCCTCATCAGTAGCAGAAGGAAAAGTAGTAGTAGTAGTAGTAGTAGTAGTAGTAGCAGTAGTAGTAGTAGTAGTAGTAGTAGTAGGAGTAGCAGTAGCAGCAGCAGCAGCAGCAGCAGCAGCAGCAGCAGTAGCAGCAGGAGGAGGGAGAGCGGGAGCAAGAGTTGTCGTAGTGATTACAATATGGCGGAATGATTTTGGGATGTATGGCGAAGGGTTTTGGGATGGGGATTTTATGGTTGAGAGCTTTGGGACTTGCTTAGCGGCCTACAAACATCGTGCTACTTTGGCTTCGCGTGGGTGTCCGGGCCCCTATCCATCCATCCAGCTCCTAAACCCAAAACCCTAAACCCCAAACCCTAAACCCCAAACCCTAAACCCTAAACTCTAAACCCCAAACCCTAATCCAACTATTTAAATATCTGTAGACATTTGCCCCAGCAAGGCCCCAGTCAAGTTTTGGAGACCTCCATGTTGTGGCTTTGCGTGTCGCTGGCCGAAGGTTGTGTTGGTTGGTGCAGGTTGTTTGGTCAAAGGCTGGCTACTCCCAAACCTAGAAACTGCACGGTTCCAAGGTGGCCGTTAGTGGTGAGCCGACTCATGCATGTCACCGAATGGTACCGAGAAACCTACTGGCACAGCACGGTACCAAAGCACAGGTGAACTCTAAAACCAAAACTCCTGAACCCAAAAACCCTGAGCCTTTTTTCATCGCAAGTTCAGGAAGGGGCCTCCATCAACGAAGTTCGACAAACCCAAATCCCCTTAACCCGATAGTTTTATGACGAAGGTCATCGATGCGGGGGTTTGTCAAATTGGAGTTGCAGTAAAGCGAAACATTACAGCCCCACCCATATCAAACGATGGTTCTAATTTCAGGGACCCCTAAGCAAATTAGATTTCAAGACACGGTGCTGTCATCGATGTAGTAGCACCTACCTTCTTTCCAGGTGACGTGACCATCCGCAATGGACCTCAGCTTCCAGGATCCGGTCAGGTTCCCAGAGAACTCCGATACCCCTTAATTCAGGAATATACCTTAAATTCTAGGGGCCTTAATAATATGATTTAAGGTCGAGTCCTTAATTAAGGAATATACCTTAAATTATAGGGGGCCTTAACAATATGATTTAAGGTCGAGTCCTGAATTAAGGGGTATTGGGTTCTCTGGGTTCTCCAACCAGAACCATGCGATGCGGGCTTACAGCATACTGCTGAAAGCTGTAAGGAACCAGACAATTTGCTACTATACTCTGCTATAATACATGGGATGCTATACTACGGTAAACCCTAAACGATGCTATACTGTACTAAACTTCCCACTAAAGATGCTTTGGCCTTCGTAGAAGGAGAACCTCGGATTCCAACTTGAAGCATCTAAAAACTTAAGACAAGAGCTCGTAAGTGCCTTCAAACGACCGTCCGTAAGAATGGTACTATGCTCCTTATAAACCTCAGCCATTCTTTTGGTTTTCACAGTCACTGCAAGCAGACATACCTAAGTTACAAGCATGTCCATGACTTCCCTTGTTGGGTTCATAGCTACTAGAAATGTATCTAAAACCCTTGTATATGAATGCAGCATTTTGCAACGAGTCGGCCAAAGAGGAACCTAGGACGAAGGAGTGGCGCAGCAATCGGTGGGTAGTTCTCTATTTTAGGTCCCCTACAAAAGTACGGCACCCACATAAAAGGGACCCTAAAAGGGACCCTAATTTAGAGAACTCCCCATCTGGGGCCTGGCCTGGCCACGGTTCCCTCAAACTTGGGCGTCCATTGACATCTGCACGGGAAATGGAAGCTACCTCCTCGATACTTTAAGGGGCGTGCACAGAGCGAATGGCCTATCCTATATGGAACTTACGAAGCAAGCGAGGAGCAGCGATTGAATGGTGCAGACTGATAGTGTGCAGTCTTTGACGGCAAGTCAGGTACCTAGTATCCCCTTACAACACCACGATGTACAAAACATATGCAAACAGTAGCTGGCAAGTGTAAAGAGTCTCAACATAGATAAAGAAAGCTGAGAAGCTGTGCGTACACTACGAATAGATGACATACCGAAACAACGATCACATGCAACAGTAAGAACGAACCCAACAGCAGATGACATGGCGATATGGGAGCAGATTGGAATGAGGGTAAGAACAAAGACACAAGGCATTGCCGTGCCCAGGCGGCATGCCGATGTCGCTAGGGTTTTCCACTCCACCTCGGGATGGGAAGCTCGGGAGATCTCCAGGTTTTCTTTGCAGATCTATCCGCCGAAAAAACCTTGAAGTGTGCAGGCTCAACTAACAAGTACAGGCCAGCTACTGGAATAGTGTAATACCCTTTGACGTTGTTGCAGACACAAGAACTCTTGTTACCTGCATCCAACTTACGTGAGCTGTGGCTGCTATGACAACCAGCTGCTATGACAACCACATGCTCGCTGGTGCTATAGCGATCGCTGTCCGCGTGGTCATACGTAATGTGGCCGGCCGGTTTCGGCGTCGAAAGCCATGCCATGTCATGGGTTGAAGGTTTAGGGTTTAGGGTTTGGGGAAGCCTAAACCCTAAACCCTTATAAACCCTAAACAACTTGAGGAGTCAACTGACAGGGAGGGCTGAAACCACGACGGCGAGGAGCAGTGGATCTTCACGCGCTGATTCGTGCTGGCCGTGTGCCTGACGGGTTGCCGAGCCTACATCAGCCCTTTGTTATAAGCCCGAAGGAAGTAGCAGGATCCTTATGATAAAGACACTCGAAATTTCATATTTGTATCAACCAAATACCTGCTTTGCTTCTTTCGCTTGCTCTTTCTCTCGCTGCCCCGCTGTCTCTCCGGGCCCTCTCGCGCATGAATGCTTGATGCCGAGACTCTCGGCCACCCTGGTGTCGGGATGCATTCGCGCAAAGCGCACCTGGAGGGATCAGGATTCAAGCAACATGAGGCTTTCTTATCGTGGGTGTCCCAAAATTCGGAGGTCGTTCCGTGCCGCCAGCTTCAGCTATAAACAACAATTGGAATATAATCCCCCAGCGCCCTTTTCTAATGATGCTTGAAACCCTAAACCCTAAAACCCTAAAGCCCTAAAGCCCTAAACCTAATTATGTCTAGGCTTTGTGTTGGGTTTCGGGGTCCGGCAGACTCAAGGATGCTTCTTAGAGGGTAACCTCCAGACTGAAGAGTTAGATCTTCAAACATAGGGTTTAGGGTTTAGGGGTTTAGGGTTTAGAATACCTTTCAAACAATCTCAAACTAGGTTAGAAATCTCTATCTCTAGTATGAGTGTTCCGAAGGACTTTGCATCTTTGGTGTGGATGTCACGTAGGCCCTACATAGAAAGGAACTTGCCTTGAAGTGGAAGCTTCAGAAGGAACCATAGCTTCGACAAGGTCACATGAAGCGTTTGCCCCGGGCCTCCTGGATGCCATGCCGCACTGGCAGGGCCCTGTAGATGGCCTCATCAGGGTAGCTGTGACCACTTCTAAATCGTCCAAACAGGAAGGATCCCATGCGGAACCGGAAAACCCCCGAATCTTAAACTCGAAACCGCCCAAATGCAGGAAGGATCCCACCTTTAGCAGCTTGCAGAACTTGGGATACAGATCCGCCTGGAATCGGGCTAAGGACAGTGTGGTGTTCAGGGCTTAACGGTTCAGATGTTTGCAGGTCATGGGTTCAGGGGTTTGGGGTTGCGAGACTCAGGATTCAACGTGTCGCGTTGAAGCTTGATGGTCTGTGCGGCTGTAGCAGTGCTTTTGATGTCACATCTTTTGCCTGCCAGCCTACCTACCACCCTACCCTACCCCACACCGCCCTACCCTACGCCATACCCTGCTACCCCAACCCCTATACCACCCCACCCCACCCCACCCCACCCTACCTACCCTGCAGGGTAGGGTAGGGTAACCTACCCTGCAGGGTAGGGTAGGGTAGGGTAAGGGTAAGGGTTTGGGAGGGTTAGGGTAGGGTAGGGTAGCGTAGGGTAGGGTTGGGTGATCATGTTGCCACTGCAGGCACAAATAAACAAGTATTCATGCGAACTTGACTAAAGGTTGTGGTGATGCGACTCCTGCTGCTTCGGAAGGTCTGGTGCAGATACGAAACTGGTAGGTGCACAACCACCCTAACCCCTAAACCCTAAACTCAAAACCCTAAACCCTCAACCCTCACCTCATCTCGAGAGGAACACCCGGGGTCTTTAATCCACAGAGTAAACAGCCTTACTTCTAAGCCTTAATAACTTCAAGCTGTAAGCGCTCAAAATCTGAAGGCTCTAAGAACCCTCAAAACCTACAAAGACGAAAGCCCTTCGAAGCTCTAAAATCACGTTTTCTGTCGTGTGCTGCGGAGTAGCCTTGCACTTTGGCCGCGCGATGTGCGCAGTCTCCCAGTAGCCCGTCACGTGAAGACCTTCAGGGTTCTGCGACAAACAGGGCCCTAAACCCTAAGCCGACTCCGAGAGAAAGAACATCTTCCAATCAAACAAGGACGAGCGTGACCAAACCGAGGGTTCTTTGTTTGTTTTGACACCTCTTTCCTTCGGCAGGGTCTGTGGCTAGAATGCCACTATGGTTGAGGCAGCCTTTTTCGGTTCGTGCTTCAGGGTTCTGTGCGTGGAATACAGTTCAATAGAACTTGAGTGTGGTGCATGGTGGCATGGTGACTGTAGCAGGAATTGAAAGAACAAGAGTCTTTCGCTTGTTGCCCCACCTTCGTCGTGTTCAACGAAGCGTTGCTGGGCGCTGGCTTCTTGGAAGGCAGGCAGAATCACGTCCTCCAGAGAAGCATTGCTGGAGAATCTCTTAATGCTGCCTGTTTAGGGTTTAGGCTCTATGCGTGCTGTCGAGGTAGAGCTTTCTGAGACATCGATCGGCAAACCTCTCAGCTTAAGGAGAACACAAGGTCGCGAGGACACGCGGCAGAACATTCGCGTCGTTGCCCCCCGGGTACTTTGACTTGCACGAGCTCGCGAATTGTCTTTCTATGCCTCGCATGAGACTATGCCAGGCCACGGAAAAGTTGCCCTCGAGCCATCGGATGGCAGAGCGAATACCTGAAAGGTGGAAGGTTTCTGCTGCCATAGGACTTCACAAGGCTACCCCGGTTGGTTTATAGCATGGAAGTACTGGTCTGATGAGGTTTTATCGCGCCGGCTCGAACAACATGAAACGAGACACAGCTGCTGTTGATAGACTTTGGGCACGACACACCAGGAAGATCGTGCTACCCTCAAATCTCGCAATAGAGATGACCGTTTGGTCAGGCTAGCTGGCGACACAGAGACTTGCGAGCTAGTGTTTGTTCTCGTTAAGACAAATGAATGAGAACACCGGCCCTTTACCCTGCAATTCTAATGAAGCCCGGCTACTTACAAGCTTACTTCTAACTTAACTTTAAACCCTAAACCCTGAACCCCTAAACCCTACCCTGGCCCAAAACCCTAAACCCTAACCCTAAACCGTATCTACCCCAAAAGGTTCAGCGAAGCCCCGCCCCCCCACTGTCTCGCCTGGCCATGGAATGAGGCCCACCGCGTCCAGCACTGGAACGGAGGCAAGCTGTTCCTTGGTTTTTTTGAGTTAGGCTCTTGGAGGATTTAGGGTTTAGGGCCTTGGAGGATTTAGGGTTGAGGGCCTCGGAGGATTTAGGGTTTAGGGCCTCGGAGGATTTAGGGTTTAGGGCCTTGAAGGATTTAGGGCCTAGGGCCTTGAAGGATTTAGCTTTTGGGGCCTTGAAGGGACCCTTCAACCCTAAACCCCAAAGGCCCTAAACCCGAAACTTTGAGGGTCTAGGGCTTTAGGGCTTACCCTAACCCCACATAACCTACCTTTTTAAGGGCTCCTAGGATTCTAGAACGAAATCAGAAATAAGGAACCCCAAAAAGGTGGGTTCTTTGGGGCTTAGGTAGGATCTTGAAGGGTCAGCCGGGTCTTTTAAGCAAGGCAGGGTTCGGGGTTTAGGGCTCACTAGAACTCTAGTTAAAGCTTGGGATTTAGTGTTTAGGTTTCGGGTTTAGGGTTTTACTACAACTCTAGCTAGCATGCCCGTAGCTGTACCTGTAACCAGTCTTCCATCTCTCTAAAGTTCTTTACAGCCTGTGCCCAGGCCCAGTATTGTAGTAGAGAGGGGTAGAGGCACACGAGCTTTCCGAAAGGGGGTTCGACAATTTCCGTGGTGCACAAGAGGGTTTATATTCACATGTACATACATGCAAACATACAGCAACAGATGGGAGTTCGGAAACCAAGAGACCCCTATTCCTGACATCGACCAACATGCTAATGAATAAACTAGCGCGCATGTAGAACCGCTAAAGAATCTTGAACACAGTTAAAGACGGAGTCCGAAACTTAAGATGGAGCCCTCTTTGCAGAGTTTGACTGCCAAGCGTCATTCAGCACCTCGGTCCATTGCTTGCGGTGGGGTGCCAGGTGGAGAGGCGTCAGCAGCCGTTCTCCAAGGGCGTCCTGGGTTTCCGGGGTTTGAGGGTTCCCAGTTTGACGCAGGTCTGTACTCATGTTCGTACAGGAGTGAAACCCTAACGATGACTCTTCTAGTACTTGCAACGACATGAACCCTGAAGCGTGTAAGATGCAACAAGAGTTCTGTCATGGAGGCAGCACGATGCGCGTGGCCTAGGCACAGGCTCTCCACGACTCGTGGAGGCCCGATATCAAAGCATGCTGCAAATCGATTTCACGTGAGCGCTTCTTTGCTGATTTTATGAAGCCCGCCCCGTTTCAGGCAGTGTCGAGAGCTTGCTTGAGGCTTATGGTTTTGAGCCCTCTACAGAGCAGCATCCCTTCCTTCACCACTGCCAAGCCACAGACAGCTCCTGCCGTCGTGGGTGGTCCCAGTGGACGCGCACAAGCCTGTGGAACCGAACATGTCTACACGACAACAAGTCAGGAACGGAGTGCGGTCACCTCATAATGAAGGATAGGTGCTGCTCTGTCTTGACCAACGGCACAGTGATGGGAGCACCATCTTAACCCTAATTGTGGCAGTCCTGGCAGGACAAAGCATGATACTGCTCTGCGAAACAGTCGTAGCCTATATATATATATATATAAGTAAGAGCCACGGTTTAGGGTTTAGGGTTTAGAGTTATATATATATATACATACGCAGTTCAGATGCAGCCAGCAGCAAACCCGTTCAACCTGAAACACCGGAAAATCGAAATCTCCGCACTCTAAACCGCGCCAATGGCATCAGAAATGCCTACAGCTCGCAAAGGCCCCTACAGCTCCCAAGCCTATAAGACACACAACCCTAAACCCCTAAACCCTAAATCCCAACACTGAACCCAGCCCTGAAGCCTCAGAAACGAATCGAAGACCTGCGGGCTTTCGTAAAGGCCCAAACAAAGCGACGTCTGGTTCTATCTGTAAGACATTTTCCTCGAAAGCAGTTAGAGGTTGCCGGACTGGAGGATTTAGAGTTTGAGGTCGTAACGTCGTAGACCGTTTAGGGTTTAGTCTTTTAGAGATTCTACAAAAACACACCCCCATCCCACATGCCGGATTTTCCATAAGCTACCGTCAAGATGACACCTGCAATTATCACCAACGATTCTGGTCAGCTTGAACTTAGTTGCTGAGTTCATCAGCCCAACAAGTGGAACACTTTCAGTTCTATAAGGGATCATATTATCCCCAAAAGTGTAAAGGGTACTCATTCAGCTAGTACATTATCACTGAGCCCTGATCTCTCCTCTAACGCACCGCAGAGATGCTTGTAACGACACCTGAAACGCTAAATCCGAAGCTTTATAACCTCTCTATCCTCAGACTCAACACCCGGGTGCTCTTTTTTTTAAGGAACTTACCTTAAGCTAACACGTAGCCACAGTAAATGTATAAAGTGAACACTAGCTTTACTTCTCATGGCGGCTGAGCTGAGCCCTTGGATCAGCCCTTCTGGGGGAATAATGTTTCCAACTATTCCGACCTCTATATTACGAGGCTCCCGAAATCCTAAACCCTAAACCTTAAAACCCTAAACACCTAAACCCTAAACCCTAAAACCCTACACCCCTAAAGCCCTAAACCCTAATTAAAAACCCTCAACCTTTTTAGTTCATCTCCAGGAGTTTCAGGGCTCGCTGAGGTCCCCGGCCACTCCAAAACGTGGACATGCCGAGCCCGGGCTGCCGTTCGGCTCCTCCCCAGACCCCCGACAAAAATCTAAAAAGTAGATCCCCTGAGTAAGGACCCTAACTACTAAAGGGTATTTTATAGAAACCCCCTTAAGGGGACCTATTTTTTGGGATCCTCTCCTCTTGTGGTTGCACCCGAATCGGCAAAGCCCTGACTCCCAAACCTTACACCCTCAACCGCAGGCGCTTGCGCCTGATTCAGCGGGGGAGAATGATTACCAATGGTATTTTTTCTTAGGGTCAGGGGGCTTAGTAAGTAGGTTATAAGTAGAGTTATAAGTACCCTAAATGGAGATACCGCAATAAAAAGCCTACTAGTCCGTATTGTTTTAGGTGTAACCTAATGTAACAACCTGACCAAGAATCCCGGGCCCTATACCACCAAGATATTAGGGTTCATATCAAGAACCCTAAGAAAGAGCGGCTTAGTGTACACTATACCCCAGAACCCTCTTGAAGGCCCAAATATTGAGCGCTTGTAATACCTCTTCACAGCAACCCTTCAACTGAATCCTAGTCTGGTTAAGCCCTAAACCCTAAACCCCCTAATTGGCTCTTACGGCTCTTACAGTACCCAGGGAGTCTAATACCCTTTGATTAAGGAATATACCTTAAATCATAGGGGCCTTAATATGATGGTTTAAGGTAGATTCCTTCATTAAAGGGTACTGGGTAGGGGCCTGAATATTATGGTTTAAGGTATATTCCTTCATTAAAGGGTACTGGGCTCTCTGGGTAACTCCGCAGCCCATCGCCCCAGCTTGCCTGTTGCTTTGCAGGTGCCTTCCCTCCCCGCGCTCCCAAAGTTGCTCCAGGTCGAGCCAGTCCTGGAAGGGTTGGGGCTTCAGGGTTTAGAATGTAGGCTTTAACCCCTAAGCCCTAAACCCCTAGGTTTAGAATGTAGCCTTTAAGATGTAGGGTTTAGGCTTTAGGATGCTTCGAGGGCTGTTAGGGTTAGGGGTGGCTTCTAGGGCTTGGTTTTTTTTTGGGCTTCAGTATCTTTGGAGGGCTGTTAGGGTTTCGGGCTTAGGTTTTGGGTACCTAGGACTTTCTCAAGGGCTGTTCCAAGCTCTGGATGCTTGTGGGTTCCAAGTATGGTAACTAGTTCCGAATTCGGGGTGCTGAGCGGGGTTCTGAATCCAGATTCTTCTCGACCTCGGTATGTTAGTCCTCCGAAATGATTGCATTCTGGTGACTCGCATGAACTCTCATGCAGGGCCGTATTTCGTGATTTCCTGCTGCAGGTTCAGGATTTGAGATACTTGCACGCACAAATTTTTGGGCATGGCAGACGGACTAGAAACCAACAAGGGCTTTCAAGAAACTTTGGGCTTGGGATTTCCGAGCATGATATGGACTCTGGGGACCCGGATCTCGCATGACAGACTGTACTCTTTCCGTGCCTCTTCTCCAGGCGTATGGACCTGGCATTGGAAACGCTGTATAAACCCGCATCCGCTTACCCATCAGGTGCCTTTGTTGCCTGAGCGGCTAGGACCCTGGCTTCTGGGATGCTGGATGTTGATACCTTCACTCGGCTATTCTTCTGCCGGGGGCGACTTTCCTCGCTTCTCCCGGCCTCTAACTGTGTTCAAATGGGGGTAGTGGTGGTAGTAGTAGTAGTAGTCGTAGTCGTAGTCGTAGTCGTAGTCGTAGTAGTAGTAGTAGTAGTAGTAGTAGTAGTAGTAGTAGTAATAGCAGTAGCAGTAGTAGTAGTAGTAGTAGTAGTAGTAGTAGTAGTAGTAGTAGTGGTGCTATAAGAGGAATTAGAGGAGGAGGGGCAGTGGTAGGTAGTAGGACGACAGCTAGAATGCCCTGCCCAACGCATCAGCCGAAAATGATAGTCAAGAGCCCGACAAAGACGCGAATTCCCAAGTTTTCATTGCCCTTCGCCCCACTCTGGAGCCAAACCAAAAAGGCGCATCCATGCCAGGGCGCCGGGTCCCCCTTTGGCCAAGGCCAGGGGCGGCGAAGTCCCGAGAGTTGCCGTAGCTCCCCAAGCCTCGGGCCAGCAAGCCTTTTTTATCGACGACGCCGGCTCTGACAAAGATGATCCTGCTGCCGCCGATCAGGATGATGATGGTGAAGATGGAGCTGAAGATGATGTGAATATGAAGATGAAGATGATGATGATGATGATGATGGTCAGGATAGTGATGACGAGAGGTAGGGGATCATTCACGGTGACGAATGACGACGACGTTGGCGGTCAGTTTCAGTGGGGGTAGGTGGAAGAGTAGAAGCGGACGAGAAGGACAGATGCTTCTCAACCGACAGGAACACGTCTCTTCCGCTTGGGTCCAAGTCTAGGTTGTATGGTTTCCATCAGATAAATTGACAATCTATGCCAACTGCTAGAGCATGCGAGGAGAATTACAACACAGCTAACAACCTGGACAGGTTCGAGGCGGAGCAGCAAGCCTGCAATATACTGCAGACCCCTGATTAACAATCACCGCTCCCTGAGGGCAAGGGTTGTAGTAGGAATCCAAACATCCCAATGTTAGCGCTGAAACCAACTGATTTTGGGAGGATCTTGTGCGAGTATGTTTGGAAATCTTAGTCAAGATTGCTCCAACATGTGAGGCTCTACTCTCGAGAGACATGAAAGTTTACCGAGAAGCGCGTCAAGCACCAAATCCTAATACGGTCTGTATCAAATACTTACAGTTGGCCTCGTACTCTAGTATCCTGCAAGGAAACCCACGGGAATACTAAACCCCACACCCCAAACCCTTAATCCTAAACCCCGAAGCCCAAGTTTTAGAATACTAAACCCCGCACCCCTAATCCTCAATCCTAAACCCTGAACCCCTAAACCCCAAACCCTACTCAACCCTACAAAACCCTACTACACCCTAAACCCCAAACCCTACTAAACCCTACTAAACCCCAAACCCTACTAAACCCTAATCTAGAGTTCTAGAGCTTTCCTGCTTCAGAGGAGCAAGGCCCGATCAGCCTCTTGCAACTCTCCCAGCGCCGCTGAAAGCAGCGCCAGCCAAGCAACGCCCGGCATTTTCGAGGTTTCTTCTAGGGTGGCGTGTAGGGTTTTTTACAGGAATTCCTGAGATATTTATGGTGGTTTAGAAGGGGTTCATAAGGGGGATCACTGAACGCAGCCAGCTTAGGGTCTGGGGTTAAGTGGCTACGTGCTCAGTGAGACCTAGGAGGAATAGGATTTAGACAGGTTGCAGGGTTGTGGGCCAAGAGCGCATAGGGATTTAGGGTTTAGGGGTTTTGGGTTTGTTGCGGAATTTCTCTTGAGCTTGGTAGGATCCTCGATAGGCACCTGATGTCTGGCGC